TAGGGACCAGTGCCTTCGAATCAAGTGGACAGTTCAGGCAATAATGCTACACCTTCCCTGCCCACTTTACACCAACACAGTGCAGGTCACTTGTGTACACTCCTGCATATGTACAAAAAGGTAAGTTTATAGTGACTACTATTTAAAGTAGTTCTAAAGTCAGAGAAGGGACAGAGTTCAGGGGGGATGTGTAAGTGTTCAGTATTTAATATGCCAGTAGATAAGTAAAAAAGCTTATGTTTATGTTAAGTTTCTGTTTGATTATCATACACTTCTATCCAAAGCACCTTATGGAAATCGCATAATAATAATTAATCTTCATAAATAGTTCAAACATGAAATATGAAACTGGTCATGTGTCCGCCACCTGTTTCTGTGGTCACAATCCACTAGTGAACTGTAGTATAGTTCTTTGTGTGAAATGCTGCCCACCTAAAATTTCTAATTGCCTCCACCTCCCCCAACCTGAGCAGTTTAAATCCATGCCTGTTACATTTAATTTACGGTGATGAGAAGTCACATGCTTTTCTAAAAAGGTGCCTTAGCAAGTACATACTACATACAACATATAAAAACATGTATTTATAATGTAAAGAAGCAAGAATAGATGGATATCAACTTTCCTCTGGCGCCACTACATCAAAATGAATTAGTGAAAAACTCTATGGTGAGTTTGGATCATTAAAGTGGATGAAACAGGAACGTCAGGAGCTGGAATTACAGGTCTATGGGGAATCCGGGAGGGGCTGCTGGAATCCGGTAAGGTTATTGGCAGTGGATCTGGAGGGGCAGTGACAGTGTCTATGCCCTCAGAGATACAGGATACAGAGAACCGAGACCAGGGCTTTATCCATCTATCTCTCCATTTTCTGTAACTGCTTTTCCTATTCCGGTCCACAGTCTATCCCAGGGCTACCCATTCAGCTCAGACCAGCGCAGTAATGGCAGCTTCTCTACTTCCAGTACTTCGTCCTGTTACTCTGAACACTAAACTAGCTCTGTTGAGCACAGCCAGTATGCATCACATGCTGATTTGAGTAGCCATTTTACTTTTTACTAGCTAATCTATGAATTGCCATATTTAGCACACCATTACATTTTGTGGCGGTGCACCACAAGCAGAGGTAAACTGGCAGGTCACTCCAAAAATCCAATACAGGTCTAAAATTATTCATAAGATATACAGTAGAATTTTTTCCTCATAAAGGCAGAAATAAATAGCTTCTCAGAGGCACATTCTACAAAGCGGGTTCAGCAGCTACCCCAGGTATGTTAGCTGGAAGTTCACTGAACAAACATTCAGAGAAACATTTTGTAGCTTCTTAACATTCCCAAAGCTGAAAGCAGAGGTACAGTTTAACATGAACTGTGATTACATACTGATGTTCTATAATGTGATGAAGGGTATGACCAATGATCCATGAGGCAGCTATCAGGAAACAGGGAGCTTCATATACAAAGGAATGTAAAAGAACGAGAAACAAAAGGGACTGGAGGGATCTAAAGCAGGGCAGGGACGTACAGAACACATGGTAGTCAATCAAATGCATTCCAGTAATTTACTTCAGTTGATCACGAAGCACAGCAATTCACCAGAGGTACAGGCTATTGTACATTTGTATGCATTAGTGTATCATTGTTGTTGGAAATAAACAAGAAATAACATTACTTCTGAGTATAAAATACTTCTGTTAACCCATAAATGTATTTATGGTCTGGCACCTTCATATCTTCAAGATTTGATTAGTTTGCAAACCTCAAACCGCATCTTCAGATCATCAGGTAGCATGCTACTTCAAGTTCCCTCTACTAAGCTGTGTACTATGGGAGGTCGAGCTTTTTGCTCTGTTGCCCCACAGCTATGGAACCATCTTCCTGTCCAGCTGCGAGTTACACAGAACCTGGACTCTTTCAAAGCAAATTTGAAGACTTTTTTATTTAGGAAAGCATACAACTGCTAAGATATCATATTTAGTAGTAGTGATATTTTTAGATTTTATGGATATTTTTAACTTTGTTGTTTTTAATGTGGCACTTTGAGATTTTGTTAATGAAAAGTGTGTTATAAATAAAATGTATTATTATTATTATTTTTATTACTTAGTACATTAATATCACATCATACAGTTGCATAATCATTAATAATACTAATAATTATTATTGCTGCTAAAAAGAAATGGGACAACACTACCCTACGCGGGTACGCGCAAAACGGAGGGGTAGGGCGAAGGGGTAGGGCAAAGTGGGGATATTGGGCCTTAAGGTGTCTTGACTTGCGGGGCCAGAGCGGGAACAGAGGAGCAGAAGTCCAGGGAGTCAGGGAAATGAGGGCTTTATTTGGGGAGAATACATCCACAAACAAAGATTAAACAAAGGACTGACGTCAATGTCCGACTGGGCAAAACATACCTAACACAGACTTAAATACATTGAACTATTGATAGCAACAAGAAACAGCTAATCACACAGGGATTCCACACGAGGTTAACTAGGGGGCGTGGCACATGGGAGGATCGGACGAGTGGAGTAGGACAGGACCCTCCCCCAAAGGCACGCACTCCGGGCACGCCTAAGGGAAATGAAGAACGAGACCTGGGACACGACGAAGCCTGGGGAAACATAAGCGAGAACATTAACAAAGCATGGGGAACAGCACGGACACACAGAACAGGTACAAGGAGACCAACTCAGACAACAACCAACACACAACAGGGAACGCGGACAGACAAAGGGACACCAGAAAAGGAAACACAGCACCCGGGAACCCGAAAGAGGACAACACCAGGGACAAACCAACAGGAGGCAGAAAGGGACCAGAAGCGAACAGAGGCACAGAGGGACAGGGAGCAAACACAGGGGGCACAAAACCAGGGGGCAAAGAAGCAGAGGGTGAGGGGCACCAGGGAGTCGGAGACTCGGCAGATAAAACGCGGAAGCTGA